TTTCCCTAGCTTTCATAAAAAAGTCAACATCCCTGTTAGACACTGTATTTACCCATTTTGTACTGAATCTATATGCAGTCTACAACTGGATTTGACTTTAACTTTCAGGTGTGGACAGCCCCTTACACCAAGACAAGTGGCTTGCCTAAAGTAGTTAAAGGCAGTGACAAAGATGGAAATTGAAATCAGGAAGCCTCTTACTTTGAATCTTCTGTTCTAATCATCTCCAAATATTCCTTTCTACTGGAAGCAAGAAGTACAATGTGGATTCAGTTATTTGTTCTCTAGCTATGACAACCATAACAAGCCACCAAGGTTATAGGTATTTGACTTCACAATTCTGTTTGTCCCAAAATAAAGACAGGCCCAACCACAAACTTTGAATCTAGATTTGGATTCAAGTGTCATGGGAGGTTATCAAATGAAAATTTTTGGTCTGTGTCCTTTTCTAGTCACAAACAGTTTCAAGTACGTCAAAACCCTATGTCATTATAGGAAGCACTTCAATTTCGTTATGAGCACAAGTTGGTCACGCTCGGTCACATAACTAAACTATCTTCACAGTATTAAAGTCTCACCTGAATTTCAAACCCAAATGTTTCATTATCTTCTTTGATGATAGCAAGGAGTTGTCTGTAAGAAAAAGACATACATTTGCACATAAAAGTCACACCACCTTTTTCAGTTTCATGTATTACTAAGTAATATACAATGCTCCTATTGACCAGCAGCCATAGGTTAGTCCTATGAATAGTGCACTTAGTTATTTCTATGTTATTTCCCTTTCTAAATTCAGACCACATAAATTGTACCTGATCTGGTGGTTAACAGCTGTGGTACCAAACAATCCCCATTCTCTGTCCAGTTTTGATACTAAGACCAACATCAATATTATCAATACTATCACTAGTAGTGATGAAAGACTATAACAGATGTATTAGCACTGCTGACAATATAAATAAAGAAAAAGTAATGATAGTAGGAAAAAAACATCTCTTTACCTTTGAGGCCCTGAAGAGTCTAAGGAACTTGATCTTCTTAAAGCAAACTGGAAACAGAAATGGAAGTTTGTAATTCCTAGTAGGTTCACACATTCATCTTTTCATATATAACAAATACAGTTAATGATCTAGTAGACCAGTGAGGGGCAACCTTTTCAGTAGGAATACCACAAATTAAGACCTTTGCCTTTCCTGAGTATCACTCCGATCCCTTTGCTCTGCACCTCTTCTGCATTCTGCTCCCATCCCAACCTGTTGCACTGAGTAAGCGTACTCCAAAATCAATCTGTAGAGCCACTACTGCTCACTTTTGAGTCCTCGGGAGAGAACAGTTTGCACTGTTGCAAGTTAGGTTTTACTGTGTATTAACTACCATAGGAAATGTAGACTTAACAAACTGGCAACATATCTAAACAGCTGTGAAACTCTTTATATATAAGTGAGACTACAGTGAGGTTTCTGATAGGGGTGTACAAAATGGGCCATATTCAATTTGAATTCGGATTTGGCCTGAATCGGGGACAGTGATTCGATTAATTGATTTGGATCACTGTTCCGACTAGATTCGGCCAAATCTGAAGATTTGATGCTGACTCAGAGAATCAGCGATTTGGCCATAGACACAGATTTAAATGTTTTTTCTACATACCTCAAGGTACCAGGTGTGGCTCATGAATGCTGAGATGGTAGGGCAGATGGAGCGTCCCACAGGAGCATGGGGAGGGGCCTCCCGCATGCTCAGAAGCAAACCCAGAACTGAACCAAAAGTACTTCTGGTCCACTTCCAGGTCTGCTGCCAAGCGCACAGGGGCAGCCCCCCTGCACTCCCCCGACTTGGCGATCAGCTGTGAGGGGACTCCAGGTGCCCCCCCAGACTCAGGAGGCACCAGTCACTGAGCCGGGGGGGCATGCGGGGGCCCCCCTGCATGCTCCGCAGCAGATCCAGAAGTGGACCGGAAATGCTTCTAGTCTGCTGTCTGGTACCTTGAGGTATATAGAAAAAACATTTAAAGCTGTGTCTATGTCTGAATCATTGAATCTTTCTGAATCTCTCCAAACTGATTCAGAGGGTTCCGATTCGTTTCGGAGAGATTAAAGGGTCTCCTGATTCAGATTTGGAGATTCAGTCACCAAATTGGGTCGAATCTCCTCCGACTCAGCTCAGCAACTGAAGCTTCGCACAGCCCTAGTTTCTGATACTATAGCATGACAATATTTTGGTCATTGAGGGCTTTATGACATCGGTTGTATGCCATTACAAAATCTGTGTTAGTTCTCCATTAAGAAATTGCAGTAATGTGGTGTGGTGGTGATCCAAGTTTTATTTTAAAAACCTTCCAATATCTGCCCTTGTATAAGGCATGATTGTGCTGCCAATAGGATAAAAAAGAGAGCTTTGAATAGATCTTCTTACTACCACCCAGTATAAGAATGATGCAATTCACTATACATTTCTATGCTGGGATGATCACTACAACTTAACACCTTTGTGATCACTTAGAGCTCAGGAACAGCTACTGAAAGAGGAAAGCCCTGGGAAAGCGTACAACATAGCAAGGTGATGACCAGGATGATAGCTGCCAAAGCATTTTAGGATTGTAAACACAGGAAAATGCTGTTTAAGGTGATGAAACATTGTAACAAGAAGTCATTGGATGAAAATATGAAGAAGAAAAAGTAAATATCAAGAGAATAATTCAGACAGTAAAATTGTTTAGGTTATAGAATTCATTCCCCCACAGTGAAATGCTGACACTTAAGACATTGCTTAATGTCTTGAGACATTGGAACTGAAAACTGCAATAGGTAGCAATTCATAAAGAGAAATCCTGTACTGGTATGGTGGTGGGGACAAGCAGCTCTATAGAGCTTTGCAATTTGTTTGATTCTATAATCTTAGTTTGCACAGATCTCAAGAAAGCTGAGTAGTAGTAGTTCTGCAGAACCTCAAGTAGCAACAGCCCTTCATGTTCTTTGATACTGCTGCTATTATAACAGTACAGTATGCTATGGAAATTGCAGAATCTAATCAAAGTGTGAGATGTGCTAGTTTGAGCACCCATGCTCTTCATTTAGGCACAGTGTATGCCTATGTATAGCCAGCATCCATGAACCCCAGCCATGCCATCTTATTTATAGGAGGTTGCAAGCAAATCTCAAAGAAATCATTTGAGTGGTGTTAGGAAATATACTTGTTTACAAATCACTCTATTTTTCCATATACTTGGGAGCCTTTTAAAATGCCATACAAAGGAGTAGGGTGAACAGCAAATACTTGCATGTATACTAACATTATTCCATTGTGCTAACAGTGGGCTTTAACAACGGTAATACCTTACATTTTTAGCATACCATATCTCAGAAAATCTCAAAACTGTTTATTAACAATATTTGTGGCACACACAAACAAAATTAGCTCTGTTTTACAAGTGGGAAAGCTTAGGCACAAACAAATTAGGTTGCCCAAGGTTACACAGGAAGTACATAATTGAACCAGCAGCAGAACTGAAACCCTTTTAACTTTCAGACATCTGCTTTTATTCTCCCTTTGTGCTGGTCTTTATCCATAGATAGCCCAAACATATCTGAAGCATCACCTTACCACAAAGCCCTCCCCATCTCCGCTAATACTAATGAGAATTATATGCTACATCAAAAAAAGAGATCACCAAGGCAGGATCCAAAGATCCTTCACATCTTTAAGTGAACTCTGCTCCCCTCAAGTCACACTTCATCGGTTTAAATGGGAGGATTAGGGTTAATCCAAGACTCAAAACATGAGAAGCATTGTGTCCACACACTGGTATTTGTGGGACTGTTACTAAAGTGTAGAAAAAACTGGTTTCCTAATGCTAATTCCAGCATTTCTGTAAGAAGATCTACAAAGCATTGAGTGTAATTAGATTGACTTAACCCTGTGCAGGAGTGCCTGTGTGGCACTACCTGACCTTAACTGGAATAACGATGGTGTCTTCATGCAAGGTCGTTTCCAACAGCATACCCAAACATTCATGAAACCAATAGACTGGACCTTGATGTTGCATACAAACATAAACATCCTTAAGAAATCACGAAAGATTATAAAAAAAGCTAATATCATACTGAAGCTGCTTCTTCTTGAAAATGTAAATATCAAATAAGGAACCATTGGCCTATATCACTAACAAGCTTGTGGACTTCAAGTCCTTATAATTAGCCATGAGACACAGACTTCTTCAAAATGTGTCCCTGTAAAAGAACCATCTCATTAACATGTATTTATCGGGGGGGGGGGGGTTAGATGCACGTAATAATAAGCAGCAGGTCAGTTAACAGAAGTCCATATGTACGTAACTCTAAGCTGAATGACTTCTGCAAAGTACCCATCAGTTGTGCAAGTTTGTTGTGAAGGGTAGTTCCCATGCCTGATGCACATGTTGCAATTTATTTTTCACACACATGGCCGTGTCATAGCCACTATCATAAATGTTCTCTCTCAATCAGGACTGATTGCCATACAGAGACAAAAGAAATTGTTTCTTTATCACAAACAGTACTAGCTGAACAAAAATCATAAGAACATTCCATGGAAACATTAATCTATCCAGTTCTGGCCTTGCTTTATCTTTTCTCAGGTTGTACAAAAGAGAAGAATTAAGAGCACATCTATTATTGCACAAAGTGAAGGCTTAAGTGCCCCATCAATACATAACAATTCTTTGATGATAATTTGCATTTATAATACATTTCAAATACTTTGAATTTTGATTGATTTACACCAGATCACTAGATAATATCCTGTAAGTGCTCATTCGTCAATTCACAGGAACAGTAAAAATGGAAACAGGATTTTGTTAGCAGCCAATTGCAAAAGACAGAAATCTGTCATGTTGTTAACATAATAGGGGGAAAACAAGAAAAACAAATAATTTTGTATTGAGAAATATCCAACCCAGAAACACTTTCATCACTTTTACAACAGAGATCGACCCAGGTGGGCACATCTACATATTGCTGGTATCAGTCATATCTGAAAGCAAGCCTATGAGGAAACAAAAAGCCTGAACATGGCACACATTGATGTAAAATAAATTAAACTTAAAGGACATGAGAAATCCCATAAACCCTGAAATCAACAGCTTCTTTTGATTCTCAGCATACCCGTAAACTGAGAACAAAAAAAAAAAAAAACCACAGCCACTACTCTGGTTTCAAAAGCTCTTTATATGTTTCAAGGTGCTTTAGAGTTTGAATTCATCCTATGTCCGCTTACTGCAGGAAATTGGCTAGATTTCGATTTTTTTGAAAGAATTAATTACTATTCAAAACAAAGCAGGCCAAATTCATCCTTGCTGTAATTCCACTGACTGTGAAAATCAACCTATAGTTGAATCTGGCAAGCTACATTCCACAACAACCCTTTTAAATTACTTGCTAATAACCTTGCAGATTACATTTACAATTGCAAATACAGAAAAACAATTAGCTGTACTCTCAAAAGGAAACTTCCTGCAATAGTAAAAGCAAAAAACTTACCTGCCTGCGTCCTCTAGGTAAGGTCCCCACTGCATTTGCCAGGTTCTGAAATTGCTTATTATCCATCTGCGGGCTGCACATAGTTTCCAAGTAAGGAGTATAAGGACTAACGCAGAAGCCTGCAAAATTGGCATTACGGTTTTGCTGAATGAGCCTTCTAAAGGACATGATGGGTGCTGATCATTTAAGTAGCACTGTCAAATAACATGGTATGACTGAAGAAACTAAAACTGTAGCCTCCTCTACCAGCAGTCAAAAAGTATCAGAATGGAAAGGGAGCCACGTGACTTGTGGTTTAGGTGCATGTACAGAAATCTCTTCTTGCAGTTCACCAGTGTTACTCAATGTTTTTAAGCTTTTGGAAGAGCTAAGAGTTGGGTTTTGCAATTAGAGAAATCTGCTTATTTTTCCACTCCTGGAAGCAAATGGATCTCTCATCAGGCAGATTTTATATTCTGTAATGGTTCTGTAAGTCAGCATCTGTTTTAAAGAACAAAACTTTCCTAAACTTCCATTCTCAGTGTTCTCTCACATTTCTCAATTATCTTTGGCATAAAATGTGGAAAGCCATGATTTTATCAAGTAATTACTTGAGTGCATGATTAGGGACATAAACAAGGATTAGACACCAATATAAAAGGATATGTTGTAAAAGTGCTCTATTTACACCCTGCAATATTTTTATAGTAAATATTTATAAAGGGGAATTTGCATTTTGTTGCTAATATGCAATCAAAAAATCTATCAAATTCCATTCTCATGTGTAAGGATCTCAAAGAAACCTAAGGCATCCTGGTTGAGAATCATGGACATAACCCCCTCAGAAAGAGAACTGAGATTAAGTGAAGCATTGTGAAGGAAGCTGCTGCGATATGTTAATTTTTAAAAAGACACCTGGTTCTGTAGTATTAGATTTCTGGAGTGTGACACACCATAAAAAGAACAAGAACACAACAGAGGATCAAAGTCAGTAAGAAACCCATTTGGACTGTCATAAGTAGAATGTCTTCTTCAAAAAGACAAGTCAAGTAAAATGTAATGGCTAACACAATGACCCAGAGGAACAGGCATCCACCTTCAGCATCCTATGTGCAAAATGAAGTGTATTTTCTACCTATGGGGACTTTTGCCATCTCTAATTTTTCCTCATCCTGAAGAAGGGTGTGTGCTCCTGAAAGCTTGCAAAGAAAGATACATTTTTGTCATTTCTTAGTTGGTCTAATAAAAGGTATCATCTCTGAACCAAGAGTTTTAGAGTTTTGCATGGCTAACACAATTCATTTTTCCTGCTTAGCTGATCTTAATCACATTTCTGCTACGGTAAACCCATTTCCTCCCCTGTTACTTTGCTCTGCTGTTTCCTGTATTTGCTTCACAAAGAGAAGCGTCATTTGCCTAGCTGTAGTTTCCTGTACCACTGTGAATTGACGTATATGAGGCCACAGGCACCAGAACACAAAGAGCAATCACATCTTCTACCTACAGTTTTTACACAGTGGTACATAGGTTGATTCTTCAAACAAGGAAACTACCAACAATTAGGTAGTAATGAAGTAAATATATTTCCTTGCTTGATTTTAAAATGACAATAAGAATAACATTAATGTAATGATAGAATACAATTAGAGTGAGGAAATTAACTGCTTACCAATCCTAATGTTGGTGTATAGGTCATTTCCTTATTCTAATATTTTTCTCAAGTAAAATTCCCAGTGGTTTCCAGAGTAATGTCAAAGTATTTTACAATAATAGTATAAAACCTAGTGGACTGCAAGTAGTGGTATAATCCTCTTGTACAATTCCTCTGTCGCAAGGCTGTTGCCACTGTTCTTCAGAGTAGGTGCATAGAAGCCAAGAAGGTCCCTACATTTTAGAGGAAAAATTCTTCATTCTGTCAGAAGTATTGAATGGGGAGTCAGATTAGGACCCATCTAAGTTGATCAACATGTGATAGATCAATGAGTTGATATACTCAACACATAATAAAGCAGCTCTTGACACATGACAAAATTTTTACTATGGCAGGTTCCCAGGTGAGGAAACCTGCTTCTCCGGAAAAGAGAGAAGAAAAGACATATCCTAAAACCAAAGTCTGGTCCAGGGAGTTAGAAATAGCCCTAGTACCAAAAATCACCAATTTACCAAATCTCTTTGGCAATATTAAATACATGAATAGTGTTACTTTTTCCATTAAAACCAAAGTGCTATTGTATGTTACATTGATGTCATGATGTCCAACATCTGAGAGAGAGGATGACTGATTGAGGAATAAATAAAAGCACTGCGAGAAGCACCTGGAAGTACTAACTAAAAGCAAATAGAATGGGAGTAATTGTCATTGCAATCTTCTATATCAATACATGAACATAGATAAGTCACATACTCTCCTTTAAGGTATCTGTGGTACGCTTCTTATCTTATTGGATTCCTTTATATTCTCATTTTTCTATATTTTTCATTTGATATCCTTGTGAATATGACATTTTAGCTTTTCTCCCCATCATTTTCTGTTATTCCATTTCATATTTCTCTTCACTTATTTTATTCCATTTTCATTTCCTATCCTCCTAGCAGGCTATTTATAATTCAGATGAAAGAAATTTCTAGTAATTTAACAAATCAGTCCTTTTACTGATCAGTTAAGTGGGAAGCAGACAAACAAGAAATCAATGAAGAGACTGGTCTGAATTAATGCAATTCACTCAGCACAGGATCTAAGTCTATTTTGATTGCAAAGTTTGCAGGGCAGGGACTGTCTTTTTGTTGTTGTTGTTGCTCTCTGTACTGTGACCTAACATTTGATCTTAGACAGCACTGATCTTGCTCTATGTATGGGACTCTTAAGTGTTAGCATATTTTGAAGGAGATAAAACACTGAATGATTCAAATATCATAAATAAGTAAAATAGTGCTTAGGTTGATGACTGATCAGATCAAATTAGATCTTAGTTTATTCAAGAGTAGAAATATTTCATTCAGTTTAAAATCCACTCAGCAAGTAAAACTGCAGAAATTGATTTTGACCTGACTATACTTGGAAAACTAAAATTAAGAGACAAAGGATGTATTTGTGGTTAAGATATTTCACTCAACTCAAAGACCTAAATTCTGTTCCTGGATCTGCTAATGCCTTCCTGTACAGCCTAATCAGATTTCAAGAGTGAAGCGGGGTTGAAACTACTCATTACATGGCAAATTTCTATAGGCTTGTCTAGGCTAGTGTCCTAGTAACCAGAAATCATCATAGTGGATCAGACTCAGGACCCAACTGGCAGACTATATCATGGCTCCGGAAATGGCCAGTATCCGATGATTCAAAGGAAGGCACAATACAATATGCTGTAGATAGATGTGGTGCAGTCTGTCTTCTATGCAATCCTGAATTATTGGAAGTTGATATAAATCTCTCTCTAGCACTCTTGTGTCTCTTAGCATTCTTGTATATTGATGAAATATTCATCTCCTCACTGAGTCTCACTAAGTCCCTGACTTCAATGATACCCAGTGGTAATGAGATCCTCAGCCTAACTGGTCATTGTGTATGAAAATATTTCCATAACCCTGTTTTGAATTTGCCACACTTCTGCATTATTTTTGTCTCCCATTTTGTGTTTGAGCCCCTTTAGTTTTATTTTAAATAAATGTGTTAACTTATGGACAATTAAAGTCATGTTTACATGGCCCCCTACTAAAAAGTAAGGTTACCTACTCCCAACTTCACCTATGTTCAAGCCTAGAAAGCAACCAGAGTAAACAACACAGAAGCTGTCTCAGGCTCTTGCACTAATATGCACTAAGAACTTATCTGAACCATCTCTTCTCATTGCCAGACTTGGATGTGAGGTGAGTGGAAACAAGTGAGCAGGATTTGCTTTTCAGCAGCAATCCCAGGCTCAGCAGGGAGGCAATACAGATACTGCCATGTTAACTACTACAGTTCTAAATGAAAATATAGCTCTCTAAAGCTGCTTATTCCTGAATACCAAGGTATTTCTACAACTGCTTGAACCACAGACCACAAATTTTTGTGTCTTGAAACAAATATTTCTGCACCCCCCAAGGTTGAATTTACAATTGTTTCAGCTAACTCAAGGTATGTGATCAAAACCCTAGACTAGACAGAGTCCAGGTAAAACCCAGATTTTGAAAAAAGAATATTGAAAATTGAGGGAAAATTTGTTTTTCTGCCAAAGTTGTGAAACAATGCTTCATATCTTGCTTCAGGGCACTATCTGGAGGTGAGAAGAGTATCTTCTTTCAACTGAGTCATGTTTTGCTATGGTCATTCATCATCCTATAAGTATTTTTCCTAATAAGGAAAATAAGCTTTAGTGTCCTGATCAAGGTATAGTTTAAGAGATTTTCCCTGCCCTTTTCCCCTGCAATTCCCATGGAATTTCCTAGTCTCATTCACATAAAAGTCTGTGTAATATTATTGTGTACTATCACGTATAGCCAGTTGAAAACAATGCTTTGTGTGATAATGTGAGCACCCTGATGGCCTGCTGCTGCTGCTGCAGGTGGGGTTGTATGCCATGCAGGGGGCAGGTGAGGGACCCACCCCTCCCACATAGTCCTCCCCACACCCACACACCCCTTCACAATCCACCCACAAACCCCATACCCCCACTCACAAACCCCATACCCCCCACCAATCCACTCAGCCCCCCAAGCCCCCACACCTCCCCACAGACCTCAACCCCACAAACCTCCCCACAAACCCCACACCCCTCCCAAATCTCACACTTTGTGTGCCCAGCCACCAGATGGGATGCGATCTGCTTGTGGGAGCCACAGCTTCAGGGGCAACTAGCACACTTCAGCCTTGCCCTGTGCTCACACCAGAGCTGGGACATGCAGCCCCAGCCTGGGGGAGGCTCCTTGGAGGGTATTTGGTGGGGTGTGATGGGCTGGGGGTAGGTGGCAGCAGTGTGTGTGTGAGTGTGTGTGTGTGTGTGAGTGTGAGAGAGAGAGAGAGAGAGAGAGAGTGATGGGGGTCAGGGATGGGAGAGTGCTCCAGGTAGGAGAGGCCACCAGTCTGACTTAGAGCCCCCCTAGAGCAGCCTGTGCAAGGGGAGGCCAGCCTGGAAGGGAAAGGGTTTGCCCAGCCCAGCACCTGAGCCCCACTCAAGGGATTCCCAGAAACAACAAGAGGATTGCTGGGGCCT